ACTATGTCTACAAATTATGTTTTCTTAGCTTGTAATGTCTATACAGCAAACAGCTTCAATACCCTTCAAAATGGCTCAGACATTGCCACCTCCATGAAGCCTGTCCTTGATAGTACCTGTGCCCAGACTTCTTCCCCTGTCACTCCCTCTTCTATGCTGCCTCTACCTTACACAAAGGACTCCTGTGTTCAAGAAAGGTGTCCTGTGTTTTCATCTGTGCTTCTCTCGCATCTAAATTGTGCTTGACTCATAGGAGGCCTACAATAAACGTTTGCTTAACTCAACTGAATTCATCTTCCTTGGTACAAGGAAGTGTATTAAAAAAGGAATAAAATGGTCCTGGTACCAGTGGCAGCTACCTTGGTAAATGTCACCATATCAGAGGTCATATTTGAACAGAGAAAGAAAGTTCTCTATCAAGGTGACAGAGGGAGTTACTGTTGCATTTAGCCCCTAGCATTAAGTCAGAAGAATCCAAACTTAGACTAAAAATCATTCAGAACTGATGTTAAGGCTTCAAATAATTTATTATGGATACCACTTTAAAAACTATCTTTTACAAATTTCTAGTTATAAAATAAATAAGTCATGGGAATGGAATGTACAGCATGGTGACTATAGTCAATAATACTGCATTGCACTTTTGAAAGTTGCTAAAGGAGTAAATCTTAAAAGTCCTCATCATAAGAAAACAACTTTTTTTAACTACAAAAGGTAATGTAATAATGAGACCTATTGTGGTGATCATCCTGCAATATATACAAATATTGAATCATTACGCTGTATACCTGAAACTAATATAATTCTGTATGTCAATTATGTATCAACTAAAAAAAGAAAAAATCTTTATTATTTTTTCACTTAAAATTAATATAAATTTTGTTACACGTATTTTATATTTTACATTAAAAAGCTGGAAAAAATTAACGTACATATTAAACATACATCATGCTAAGTAAAAACTTTCCCAAGACACATCACTTTCCAGAAATAATCCAATCTCAATCGTTTGGTCCATATTTTTCCAGATTTCTGTATCTGTGTACATAATAATATATGTAATTACTATTACTAATGTTTACAAAATTTAGATCATATGCTTCATATTCTACATACTGTCTTCCATTTCTTACTTAAAAAAATATTTTGTACATCTATCCATATCTGCACAAATAAATCTATCTCACTGTTTTTCTATGAGCCTTTACAGAATTTTTAAACTAGCTCTCATAGAATTCCATTATGTGGATCTACTGTAACTTTTTTAATCACTATATTTATTATGAAAAATACTACAACAAACTTTTTTATCTGTAGCTTTGGGCTCATATGTAGGTACAAATTCCTAGAAGCAGAATTTCTGGGTCAAAGGGTGTGTATATTCCAAGTTTAAAAGATACTTCCAGACTGTTATGCTGTTCCTTTTAAGGCCAATGTACCAACTTACTTTTGGCTCTGAAATGAACTTCAATATGGCATTTATATTTATTACCCTAGTTCAGTGTCCCTAAGGTTTACTTAGGTGAAGTGAGATTGCCATGTTTTACTGACTCTATGATGCCATCTTATATGAAACACAGCCGGATTTCAGGTAAGCTGAAATGTGAAAAGCATCCCTCTTATATTATATGGAACTACGATTCTTAGCTGTCTTGGAAAACGTATGATTAACTGCTTATACTGAGAAAAAGCATTTTCTCAACAGAACAACAGCACATCAAATGCTCACACTTAGTTTTTAAAAATACCACATTTCCAAGGGCACTGATACATGAGATATGAAACATGTGATGGCAAACTTGCTAAAACTAGGGGCTTTTTCACAGCAGTCAAGCTTAGAAGGCCCATAACATTGGATAACTAATAATTACAGAGCATGTTCTTTTCTACCATAAGGATCATGGCATCAGACCACAGAGCAAATCAAACCACCCACTTATTTTCTAACATAGTGAGCCCTGGCCCATACACCTGTGGCAAAAAGAGATGTTCACAGTTACTGTATAGCAAAGCCTCTTACTGATAAGAACAGGCAGCTCTTTTAACTGGTTTTGACTCATTCACCAACCTACAGTTCATCATGCTCTTTGACAGAGAAATCACTTCCGAAGTTCAGTCCCCAGACGAGGCTGACTTTGGCCAGAAGTACATGAAACATGGGTATCATTTTCCAGCACTAATGTTTCACTTGAATAAGGTGATACAAATACTCCTTTAGAGTCCTTTTTCTTGTTGTCTTTGTTGTTTTGTTTGAGGTGGCTAATTGCTCAAAAGATTAACATTAAAGGGGTTGTCAGGATGACTTACCACCCGATCACTTTCCATCTCAGGCATCAATTGTGTATTTTCTACACTTGTGACCATAACACGTGTGTGTAGAAAGGTGCATCATGCCTTGATGTGCAGGAAAAAGAGGTACTAAATAAGTGTATCTGAAATGTTAGACCCTCTCGGCTAAGCACAGAAGAACAGAATCACGTTGGATCATCTAAACTCTGAATAAATACAAATTCGTTACACCATGTCTGAAACACGAAACACCAAGTGTATTTAGATTTGACTATGACTGGTTGAAATGCTGCAGGTGTTAATAAACCTCCACCAAGTGAGGGGATTTTCAAGTTACACTCACTGAAATTAATATTAAGTCCTTTCTGTGTACCCATCACTTTATTCTGAATGCTTATAATTTTTCCTAAACATACCCTACATTCTTTTTTTTTTTACATTTTTTATTGATTCATAATCATTTTACACATACCCTACATTCTTACACTATTTCTGCATGTGACATGTAAATGTAACCCTTCCTATGAATGGGGTGGTGAAGAGGCGCAGCTCAACTCCCATCAGTTTCTACAACTTATTTGCTCTACTTCTGAGGCTACTTTCTTCTTATTTTTGGAAGCCAGAATTCTCAGCATGTGCTAAGCTTTTCTTTGCTATTCAATTGGGCCCTTTCTAATGTATTGAAAATGTGATTTTTCAGAAAAAAATCCACGCTTGCAGGCCTCTTCTTTCACGTTCCCCCCTCATGACAGTATTGCAAAACTCTCATAACTTTCAATATCTTCAGGTTCTTAAATCATTTTTGTCCCCTACTTCACCTCCTCTTTGGCCTTCTTCTGGCTACTACCCTAAAAAAAAAGTTCCAGTGAGACAAATATCCAAAACTGGACTATTAAACCCTCTTCAATACCCCTGCACCTAATCAAGAGACTCCACAGTCTAACCAGTGTCTGATTCACAGATTACACTTTCTGATATTGGGAGTAAATCTGAAAGAATTGGTATATAAGAATAGGGGCTGGAGATAGTTGGGTTTTAGTAGGTGAAAGTCAAATTTTTATACCATTGAATGAGCTTAATAAAGCCTTTTTTTTCTCTCTATGTGATCAGCTTGGACATAAAGTATAGAGAATCCTCTTTTGAGTTCCTTATTAATCCTTTCATTATATGCTGTAAAAACAAATGGAAAACCAAAGTTTAAAAGAAAAAAAAAAACCTCCCAGAAGGCGAGGAGTGAGAGCTGTAAAAGCCAAAACCCTTCTGGAGTGGTCAGAACGTGCTGCTGGCCCCGAGCCCCAGCCTCAAAACACAGACCAACGCTATGTTCTGGGAAATCGGGCTACAGTCTTGGCTGAACAGGAGCTCCCGATGTGTGTTTCCAAATTCAGCCTTGCCTCCCTCTAATCCATTCCCTAACTAATAACCACTTTTACTCCTTCCTTTTCCCCAAAATATCTATTTAGCTCTTATATATGTTAGGCCCTGTGCAGCTGGCCCGAGCTGCTAGAACAAATCACAAATCTGTGTTAACTGCTCTGCTGAAATCCTTCAGTGGTACTCAAGATACCTCAAGATTTGGACTCTGACCATCTTTCTAGCCTCATCTTCACCTCCTTCTGGGCCCTTGCTTTCTGAGTGCTAGACATAACGAACTACTTTCAGTTTTATTATCTGATGCCATTTCCCTATCTCTGCCTGTCTGCCGTGATACAGTTTATTCTCTGAGAGCCTCCTCTGATCGCTCAAGATCGGGTTAGGTACAAGAGGAAATTCTGGTGTGGCATACAACCTATATTTTTTTGACTGAACACTTCTCATCCCTTCTTTCCAGTGTGTGAAAATATGTATCTAATAATATCAGCTCACGAGATATCTGCCATCACGTCCTTTTCCTCGTTTTCTCTAAAGCAGTTTCTGAGGGTGTGATATAGACCCTGTTTTTCAATTCAAGAAAAGGATAAGGTAACCTTGGCTGGTGAAAAGGAGAGAAAAATCTGGAGAAAGTAAAATAACATTCCAGTTGGTCGTCTGGCTTAATTCTGCTACTTCTTAAAGCCATAAATGTGCTGCAGAGACTCTCTTGGCGCAGTGGACAATAGAAGGGCATGGGCCGGGCTCACTGTGCCGTGTGTCCTCCTGAGGGTCTACGGTCCAGTTCTGCTCATCAGTGCTGGGCGTGGTATGGCGGGAGCATGCTCCCACTGCCAGCCATAGCACGCTGCCTTTTCCCTTCCCCTGGGTATCTTCTGAGTCAGAAGAAATAAAGTTAAAGAATTTGCCAATTTGAAGTTTCACTATGAGTTTTTGTTCCAGCTCCATCAGTCAAGAGACTTATCCACAGCTCTGGCAAACACAGAAGGACCTGCCTCTTCCAACAGAGTCTACTGACCTCTCCCAGTACCATTCCATGAGACCCTAACCCCCTGCCTTAGCATTTATTTATTCACATTGCCTTTGTACTTGCCTGGGTCCCCTTCTGCCCTTGAAGGCAGAAACGTACTATTTGGGGCCATATCCCCAGCAAATAAGAGCACCTACTATATCTGACATGTAACAGGTACTCAATAAATGGCTCATGAATGAATTAATATAGACTTGTTGGCACTTCAAGGGAAAAAAACCAAAACAAACCTTAGCAGCTCTCAGGATATACAGACCATACTTGAGTCAGTAAAAAACTATTTCACTGGTGATTTTCAGTTCTCTCTCACCTGATCGGTATCGTTCATCCCTGGCTCCCCCAGATCGAGTTCGGTGGTACTTAGAAGGAGCGGAAGTTTGAGCTGCAGATGGAGCAGGTGTCTGGTTTCTGTGTTCTTTCTGTACTGCTGAATCAGTTTCTAAAAAAGGAAGTTTGGAAGGTGGTTATCTGATAATAATACCTAACTTTTTCTGAGAAATTTACAGCATTTCCACAATACTTTGAGGTAGGTACTATTACCCCGTCTACGGTAAAGGGTTAGAGAGCTTTAAAATACATACATAACGAAGATGCAAAAATATCCAGGCTAAAAAAAATATCATCTTAGAGTTGTAACTGCCAACAGGTGATGGGAGAGAAATAGCAAGAAGATATAAGCAAGTGAAAAAGCCATTCCAGAGACTCTAAGAACTGACTGGGTGGGAGGATGGGGTGGGGCTGTACATGACCCCCTAATCCTGCACAGTGGTACAAAGAATAGCTTGGGGAGCTTTAGCCTCCCCATCATAAGCTACTTCAAATAAACACAACATTTAAACAAAACTGGGTGCTTATCATGCAAACATAGCTTCAAGTCAAATCTCACTAGTCCCTCTTTCAACCAGTCACCACTGAACCTATCCTTTTCCAGCCCCTGGCCTGTCCCCAAACTCTGTCCTCCCAACATTTACTGTCTTATCAAGAATATGGGGAAGAGGAAATAAGCAGGTAGTAAAAGCAGAAGAAAAACTCTTTAAGTTCTGATATTTTACTATGCTTTTTCCCAAATGGTGTTAGCTCCTAGGTCATTTTTTAAAATTGTAGTAAGAATAATCAGTACGAGATAGACTCTTAACAAATTTTTAAGTGTACAATACAGTATTGTAAACTATAGGCATGACGCTGTACAGCAGATCTCTAGAATTTGTTCATTTTTTTACCTGCTGTGTAGCAACTACCCATTTCCCCTACTCCCCAAGTAAACCACCATTTTACTCTCTGCTTCCATGAGTTTGAATATTTTTGATTCCTTATGTAAGAGGACTCACACAGTATTTATTCTTCTGTAATTGGCTTAATTCACTCAGCATCACGTCCTCCAGGTTCATCCATGTTGTTATAAATTGCAGAATTTTTCTTTTTTAAGGCTTAGTTTAAGTGTCTTAAATAGCACTTACTTGTGCCTAGAAAGGTAGCCTACACAGAGCAAATTAAGTGCCCACTATAGAAAGATGTCACCTACCCAGCAAATGCACTGCTCCAGACCACAGCTAAGAACTGGCTTAGAAAGCCAAATAATTAAAAAGCAGACTGAAAGCACAGCGGTCTGGGGAGTGCAAGCAACAGCCCCACATACCTCAGTAAAGGCTGAGGGCATCACAGTACTACAGGAATTGAGACGTGTAACACCAATGTCATACCATTCTAGAAAATGGTTAGCATGCTGGAGAAGCCATGTATAAGAGCTCTAGTCGACAGTTCCAGCTGAGCCCAGCCTTCGTGTGCCTCTGCCAGAGTACCAGACACATGGTAAAGCTGCCCTGGACCTTTCAGGCCAGGTGAAAGGCACCTAGTGACCCCACTGGCACCATGTGGAGCATAAGAATCGGCCAACTGAACCCCGCCCAAATTCCTGACCCACAAAATCATCAGATATAACAAAAAGGGTTTCTGTTCCTTTTTTAAAAGGATTTTTAAAATACACTGTTTCTTTGTTTGCTTTGTTTGGGGGGGGATTAGATTTATTTATTTGTTTGTTAGTTTTTAACGGAGGACCTGGGAACTGAACCCATGCTAAGTGAGCACTCCACCACTGAGCTAAACCCTCCTCCTTATATACTGTTTTTAAGAAGGCAAAGGAGAGTATATTTCAGGATGCTCTCTATTAAAGCATGTTTATGGATCTAGAAATATTTATTTTTGATGGTTCCTGGTAGCTGAGTTTTTATTATAAAATGTATCATCTGAGCAGAACAAGTTTCAACACTGAGACTTTTCAATGTAATGTCTGGGGTTGTAAATTGAAGTTTTTAATCTACCTAAATTCTCTTGATAATCCATTTCACAGAAGAGCTGTACTGAATCTTGATATTTTCATACCTTGTTTCATTTATTAGTCTTATTAGTCTAGAACAGGGGTCAACAAACTATAGCTCATGTCTGCTTTTGTAAGTAGTTTCCTCAGGACACAGCCATGTGCATCTGTTCACATACTGCCTGTGGCTGCTGTCACGCTGCGAAGGCAGAGCTGAGTAGTTGTGATAGAAACCGTATGGTCCTCAAAGCCTAAAATATTTACTATCTGGCCCTTTACAGAAAAAGCTTACCAGCCCCTGGTCTATAAAAATAAAAGCTACCATTTAAGTGTTTGCTTTGTGCTAGGCACTGTGCATTTAGAAGTTTGCACATTTAATCTTATTTATTCCTCACAACAACCTTACAAAGCCAGCACTATCGACTTTTTACAGAAAAGGGAACATGGATTATTTTATTCGAAGTCACAGGGCCAGGGAGTGGCAGAGCCAGGATTCAAACTCCACTGGCCTAACTCCACTGGTTTTCAACCAGAAAAGGTTATGAAAATTCTCCCAAGGCTCTTAAGACGAAGACAGTCAGAATCAATAATTTAGTTTAAGAGCATTTAAATGTTTCAGAATTTATAGTCAGCAGCCAGATAAAAGTTTTGCTTTGTTTTTTATTATAAAAACAACTGCCTTCATGTGAAAGATTCTGCAAAAAGCCATTTCAAATAAAGCTTCCAGCCATTCATTAGAGAAATTATTTAAAACATATTCCAATTAACTTTGAATAGAGAACAAAAAATAGAAAGGGGCTATTTTTATTTGTATGGTCAGATGACATATACAGAAAGGAAATGAGATTAGCACACATGAGCTACTTTGCCTATAAACATGCACAGAGAAAATGGTTTGACTTAAACAGATAAAGCACCAAGTTTAAAACACTAGCTTTGTACTACTTTGTGGGGGGGTTCATAGTGAATATATACCTGAATTATCTATCACTAATTCCTTTTTTTAATTACATAAGCAGATTTGCTAGGATGAACCAAACCACCCTGCTAAGAAACATGGTTCTTTCAAATCAGACGGCTCATAATCCAAAGAAGGAAAGAAGGAATATAGATTCTCATTCACAAAGGATGGAAACAAAGGGGTATGTATTTTTTTTCTGATTCTTCTCATGTATGTTTTCACTTTGTATTTTTCAATGTAATTAATTAGTAAAAAGAAGCTAATGTGGACTAAAGAAAATTTTTTTACCAAAAAATGATAGGGAGGTGATAGGGGATCTGGGAGTGACACATCTGTTCGAGGAGGAATTAGAGAGAAGCAACACTGCCACTCAGGATGACCTAGAGGTTATCACAGGTCAAGCCACAAGAAAATGTGATACAAATACAGACATTTGGTGAGAACTGAGAGTCAGATAACACATAGCCGAGAGACCCAGTGAACTGGTACCAAAAAAAAAAAAAAAAAAAAAGCCTCACAACATGCTATTCACCAAGCAACATTAGTATGATGCTCTGCAAAATTTATCTCAGTTTCCTCAGGAATTTAGTCATCCAAACAGACCAGGTCTCTTTGGGTCTAAAGACATTTTGTTATAGCTTGCCAGAAATGAAACCAAAATGTTGATCTGCAGTTTCAGTAAGAAGCTGACAGGTTTGTTCAGTGAGCATTCCTTGGGTGCCCAAAGCACGATGCCACAAAAATATGGATTTCTGACAAGAATAATCTTGGTTCAAATGTATAATACACCTGCTTCAAGTTCAAAAGGGGCTATCCAAAAGAGATGTAAAAGAGTAAAAATGAATTCCTAGGAACTGAGTCAGGGGAGCTTAATAATGATACCTTGTAGTTAATCTTTGTGAATGTGAATAATCACTCTTTAATTTATATGAATTTTATAATTTATATTTCCATGTATAGGAGTTTTACTTTTTAACATATAGGATTTAGATGTATTTTATACATGCACCAAAAAAAATGGAAAGCAAATACAAAAAAATGTTAACAGCAATTATCTCTAAGTGATGAGGTTTTGGATGTTTTTTATATTTTCCATAGGCTTTACTGGGTTTCTATAATTTAGAAAAGTTCTCTTTTTTGGGATATGAAAATAATATATGTTCATTGTAGAACATCAAGATAATATTAACTAGAAAGAAGAAAATAAAAATGATGTTGATTTTCTTAATTTGAAGGTCATACCAAGGAGAGCAGATTCCTGCCAAAATAAGTTAAAATAATAATCAGTTTCCTAGATAAATTATGACACTCTGAGCGGGATTTTCAAATCTTCTAAAATCAGCTGTCTCCTTTTCTTTCCCCAAAAGCAACTGGCAATTCAGTGCATATTTGGAGGTGAGAGGGAGGAAACTATGTCCTGGCTGGATTAAAAGAATTTTGGAAGGCTTATTCCCACCTTAGTTTACTTGCCAAGGCAACAATTTATCACAGAAGGAAGCAGGAAACACGGACCTCAGGTCTCATGAAAGAGAGGAGGAAGAAAGGGGTCTGGGGATGTAGGGGCCCAGCAGGGCCCCATTTCACAGCATGCCCAGTGTCAGCTGGGCAGGCAAGATGTTGCTTAAAGAGGAATAATTCCCTGGCCATGGTTTCACACTCCAACCAGATCTTAGAAATTACCTGGGACCCAAAATAGAGATTTCTATATTTTGAATAAGATGCGCACAGTTTCATTAGCACAGTAAGAAGCCAAAAGCAAAGACAGAATTAACTACATGTATCAACATAATGAGATACATATTAATGGCATGAAAAATGAAAAACTGTTGACGATGTAGACACCTGAAAAGGTCTAAATAAAATGTCAAGTAATAAAAGAACACAAAATATTATATATATAATGTGATCACAGATGTGTACATAAAACTATTTATATAGAATTATAAGGATCGGACGGGACATAAAATCACTTAAGTAGTTGGGATGAGATAATGATGAGGTACTCCGGAGTTCTTTCCCATTTCTTTGCCACTTTGTTTACTTGAAAGAGTTGTATATAAAATCAATGTAAGTTTAAAAGACACTAAATATAGATAAGTGCTGCAAGGAGAGCTGTGAACCTCATAAATCTTCTAAATTCTAGTGTGAAACATACTTAAGATCC